TTTGCAGTTTAGGAATAGTTACGAAAAGATCACTAAAGGCATATGTATATCATATTGCATGAAAATGAGTGACTTGTCCATTGAGAGTCACTGCCTTATAGAGTAAATATTACCTTTACATACCATGTAAGCTTATGAACAAATCTTATAAATATTCATCATCGTGCACTTGCATACCTATACACAGTCTGCTCTATTTACTCAGCATTAAGATTTAACCAAAATAAAAAAAATATCTAAGGGTCGCGAGATATTAAAATGATAAATTTTAAATTACAAAAATTTATTTACATAGTATTATAATATTATGCAAACTAGTCATACTTAGGAAACTTGATTTATGATCAAGTTGTAAGACCCACTTTTCTTAATAAATTACAATCTATCTTATCTTGCATTCATCAAGGCCGAACATGCATTATTTTACTATAGTTAGGTAATTTAGATGGCCACCCTTCCCAAAAAGAGTTATAAGTCCATTACTTTTTGTTTATTGTGTTTTATATTCTCTTAGACTAAGTTTTTAAGGTTTTACTTCTTTCAATAAGCCTCAATTCAGTCTTAGGATTTTGATATTTTTAATCTAATTACAACATAAATTCTCACCTTCTAGGATTTTTCAAGATCATATATCACGTAATCTTAGTTTTTAATTTCTAACAAAATATTAACTGAAACATCATATAAATCTCTTTCAAAATCATAAAAACTAAACAATATGATTTTTGAGATGTCACTAAATTTCTTAGTATCTTCAACCTTTCATACTCTTTATCCCTTGTGTTCCATAAATAAAAATATTTCACTTTTGAGCCTTTCCATTTTGACATTCCTAACAATTCAATCATGGAAATTAAACTTAGAATTTTTTAAGGATATGACCACAAACAAAATCAAACGTTTATTAAGTGGCTTTTGTTGCTTAAAGTGTAAATAAATTATAGGGGCTTGCCCTTATAAGATGTTTGAAACCGGATGATTACAAATTCTATCTAGTCTTTGGATCCAATATAGAAAATATTTATTGGTTTTAATCGTAGATCTTATAAATATCCAAAATTTCTTCGTTAGTAATTGACCCATCTTAAAGTGGTATTTCTATCTTTCAAGGTAGTATATTACTTTTGATATCTTGTTTGATTATTTAAACAGTTAAATCATTAAATCTGTATGGATTTCAAATAACTCTATCACAAAATAAAATTGACAATAGTCCATGCAAGTTGGATGCTTATGTTTCATGGCCTACACAAGTTAGATATTTATGTTTCATGACCTATACAAGTTTGATGTTTATGTTTTATAACCTAAGAAAGTTGGATATCTATTTTTTTATGGCTTATGTAAGTTGGATGTTTTATATTTATGGCCACATGTAAGTTATGATTTCATGTTCATGCTTGTTATGACCATAAGGTAACACAAAAATTTATGCAGAGAAATCAAATTTGTTGCAAAACAAGAAACACAGCAGAACACATAGATTTACGTGGTTCGACAAATTGCCTACGTCCACGAAGTTGCAGATGATTTTATTACTTCAAATAATACACTTGTCGATTACCTTGATGATTACAAGAAATGACTTTTTCTCTCTACCTCTTTCTCTCTCCTCTCCTCCCTTCCTTCTCTCTCTCTACCCGAGAGCTTCAAAACGAAGCACACCAGAAGAAAAACCTGAAAAGCTATCAACACCGAAGGGAGATAACAAGGGGAGCTAGCATGCCTATTTATTAATTCCATCATGTCATTTGACTCATTAAGGAATCAATCAAATAATTAATAAAGCCCATTAATTATTTTCTTTTCTCTTATGCAGCAAATCATTGAAGAAATTAAGAGCAATTAATTTTGAGTATTAAATCGAATTTGCTACCAAAAATGAGAAAATGCCAATTTGAACAGCATGCGATTTCCATATTCGCAACAAATCTCCCACTTGGAGACTGTTACACTGGCTGCATCATCTACTGGCTGCGTTGCCCTTTTCTTCAAATGTGTTATCCTCCATTTTTTCACTCAAAGCTCCTTGTCTTCACGCTAGAAGACTAACTAAAGTCGAGCACAACTTCAATTTCTCAAGAGTAACACCCTTAGTCGACATATCATCGATAACATAGCTTTGTAACTCCAAGCTCTTTCCTGGGTTACTCATGTTTCTACTTACAAATCTCACTCCATGGGCAATATCTTGCCTCTGTTGAAAGCTCTTTTCGACAAGTCTAGCCTTATACCTCTTACTACCATTAAACACAGTCTTCAGCCAATACACACACTTGTTGTGCAATGTCTATTTCCCTAGTGGAAGTTCTGTCAGCTCCCAAGTTTGATTCCCTGGCAGGGAATCCATCTTTTCCGATCGCTTTCCCAGTAACAGAATATGAAGTTTCTTCGCATAGAGGAAGTTCTCTATCTGTATTCTCTATTAACTAAAATATGGTCATTAAACTTCTCGATTCCCGATGCCATGACTTCGTCTCTACCCATCGTTCTTTTTTAGATCCGAACCAAAACTATGATAACAGTTGTTGTGAAAAATGACGACAATAAAGCGAAAAATCGGATCGAGAAAAGATTCGCAAACAGAAAACACTGTTCAAATTGGAATTTTCTCATGTTTGACAGCAAATTGGATTTGATGCTTGAAATTAATTGCAAAATTAATTGCTCTTAATTCCTTCTATGATTTGCTGCAGAAGAGAAAATGAAATAATTAATGAGCTTCATTACTTATTTGATTAATTCTTTAACGGGCCTAATGGCATTATGGAATTAACAAATATGCATGCTAGCTCCCAATGTTATCTCTCTCGAGATTTGGTTTCCCAGGCTTCTTCGGCTGTTGCTCTCGGGAGTGAATTCATGAGGAGAGGAGAGGAGAGGAGAGGAGAGAGAGATATTGTTCTTTCTTGTAGTCGTCAAGACTATCGATGGGTGTAATCCTCGAGTAATAAAATCCACTACAGCTCCGTGGACTTAGGCAATTTGTCGAACCACGTAAATTTGTGTGTTCCGTTGTGTTTCTTGTTCTGCGAATTTTTCTCGATTCAATTTTTCACTTTATTTTCTTCGTTTTTCATAACAACTGATATTAGAGTCTTGGTTCGGATCTAAGGAAAAGACATGGCTGGAGATGATGTGAAGGCATCGGGGATCGAGAAGTTTAATGACACAGATTTTGGTAACTAGAGGATGCAGATAGAGGACCACCTCTATGGGAAGAAACTTCATCTTCCGTTACTAGAAAACCAACTGAAAAAGATAGATTCCCTGCAAGGAAATCAGACTTGGGAGCTGATAGAGCTTCCACTAGAGAAGAATGCATTGCGCAATAAGTGTGTGTACCAAGTGAAGACTGCGTTTGATAGCAGTGAGAGATACAACGCTAAATTTGTTGAAAAGGGATTTTAGCAGAGGCAGGATATTGCCCATGCATTGGGAGTTGTAAGCAGAAACATGTGTAACTCAAGAAAGAGCTTGGAGGTACAAAGCTATGTTAACGATGATATGTTGACTAAGGGAGTTACTCTTGAGAAACTCATGTTGTGCTCGACTTCAATTGAACTTCTAGAGTGAAGACAAGGAGCTTTGAGTTGCAGAGGTGGAAGATATCACGTTTGAAGAAAAGGGCAGCGCAGCTGGTGTATGATGCAGCCAGTGTACCGACCTCCAAGTGAGAAATTCCAAATGAGAAATTTGTTGCGAATATGGAAACTGATCCACTGTTCAAATTGAGATTTTCTCATGTTTTGCAGCAAATTGGATTTGACACTCGAAAATAATTGTTAAATTAATTGCTCGTAATTCTTTACATGATTTCCTGAAGAGAAAATGGAATAATTAATGAGCTTCATTAATTATTTGATTAATTCCTTAATGGGCCTAATGACTATAAAATTAATAAATAGGCATGCTAGCTCCCCTTGTTATCTCTCTCGGGATTTGGTTTCCCATGCTTCTTCTTCGGGCGTTGCTCTCGAGAGGAGAGAAGAGAGAGGGGGGAGGAGAGAGAGAAATATTGTTTTTTCTTGTAATCATCGAGACGATTGACGAATGTAATCCTTGAGTAATAAAATCATCTACAGCTTCGTGGACGTAGGCAATTTGCCTAACCACGTAAATCTGCGTGTTCCATTGTGTTTTTTGTTTTGTAATTTTTCTCGATCCAATTTTTCGTTTTATTACCGTCATTTTTCACAACAATAAGGTAACACAAAAATATATGGACACATGTTGAGAGCCACTTTAATTCCTTTTGGCTATGTAAGGGAGAGAGGTCAACAAAGCTTATATAAACAATGATTCCTAAAAACTAATATTTTTAAAAAGATTTATAAATCATTAGTTCTAAAAAACGATTATATATATCTATATATATATATATATATATATA